TATGAACCTCACAGAGGATTTGGGGGACTGGATTCAGTATTCAGTTCTTTAATAAGTTCTTTAATACACCTGGACTATAAGTTACTATTATTTATTTCCAAAGAAGATTCTTACCTTAAGGTCCCTTCCAAATATATTTCACTTATGGAGTTGGATGAAATATTATAAGCTGACTTGTAAGATGAGACACTATCCGAGTATGAAGAAAGGCAAAAAAGGAGAAAGAGAAGGAAGGAAGGAAAGGAAGGTTGAGAAAGGGCAGGAGAAAAGAAGGAATTCTTTATTTGAAGCAGCTTGTTGCTAACCTGACTTTGTTAGTAATTCTAGAGCACCAGGGGAAGAGATACATCTCAGCATCAGACAGATAATACGAACTGCACAAATTCTGAAGGCTGACCAATATTTTCTCTTGTTACTGACTATGATACTAAGTTGGCTGTCTCTTTGCATTAAATATTGAGTATATTGAACACATGCACCCTTTTTTCTTTCAATGATAATATTCTCCAGCTTTGTCAACATATAATGGTCCTGTTATAAAAGTGAAACTGAAATATGCTAATAGCCTATTTGCTACTTTGCAAGCTTTGTTCTAAGACACAGCGCTTATAAATGAAGCAATATGATACCAGAAAGAAAAAAAAATCCCTCACCTAATGTACAGCTGTGCGTTTGGAATCTCCTCTGTAAAGAGATGAAGATTACAGGTTTTAAAAGTGAATGAAAGACTACAGCAAAAATTATGTGAACTCTGAAAGATGAGTGAAACCTAAAATATACTATATGTAATGGAAATGGATATTTACCCAGTTGGAGTGACAGCAAAGTTAAACACAAGGAAATTAGTACTTTGTAGGTTGGTTAACAAGGAGCCATAAACTACTCTGGCTTCTTTCTCTTCAGAGTTTCTTAGAAGAAACTGCTCACTTATGTAGGCAGATACATGAATTTGGAAGTTGGCTATTTATTCATCAAGATGTTCTTCACCTTTATGAAAGAGAGCTTCTGTTTTTCTGAAGTCTCCAAGGCAAGAACAAAAGGGGACATACAGGTGGAGAAAGAATTTTTCTACCTCAAAAACAAATTACGCCTATTCTAAAAGGGAAAAAAAGAAGCAGAGAACTTAAAAACAACTAAATGAGGTTTTCTGCACTGTTACAATGCCCAAGGACAGTTCTGACTTGATACCTTAGCAATTTATGTGCAATTTTATTCTGGTGGTGTCTCTAAGGTTCAGTAAAAACAAGGAACAGAACAATACACAGTTTCTGGGCTGCAGGAACCAGTTCCAGAGCCCAGCACCTACGGTTTTAAAATTTTCCACCTGTAACAGTATCACCTGAGTGGACTGAAAAGGGAAAACCTGTTTCAATCTTGCATGCCCACTGAGGCTTATGGGACCTCTGGGGCTTGTATCATCTTCCAGAAGGGTATGTGGGCTCAGAGATCCCTTGAAGTGTAGAGGCAGGCAGGGGAACCAAGGGGAGCCTTTTATTAGCCAGTGCTGATAGGAATTGCTCTAATCCAGGCAGTTCAGTGGTTTGAGGACAGATACATCTGCTCTGGGGATATGTCGGCAAAAGGACCTGACTGTCACCAGGCAACTTCCATCCAGTTCACCAGGCAACTTCCATCACCCAACGGCTCTTGACTGTGTCCTCTTTCCTTTTTTTTTTTTCTTCCAGGACCGGGGATTGAACTCACGACGTTGCACTTGCCAGGCAGGTGCTGTGCCGCTGAGCTAAATTCCCAGCCCCTCTTGACTGTGTCCTCAATTCCAAAGACTAAGAAGTTCACCCTTGTCTTCAGTATGGTAGGCTCAGAATTTCACGATGTTGGAATATAGCCTAGTTTTAGCAACAAACAACAATGGAGAATGTAGAAAACTGGTGAGAGACGTTCACTCAATTACGTGAATACTTCTATACCCAGCAAATCATCAGTGTAGGGATGATTCAATCATGAGGATTGAATCCTGAGTAGAATCAACACTAATCAGAGCCTTTTATTTCCATGAATGTAAATTCTTTGGTAAATTGCATGTGCATTTTTCCAGGTATTATTCTGCGCTTAAAACAATGTTGTGGTAAAGTATTAGAGGAAATAGTAGATGAGAATTTGGATCCAAGTACTTCCATCAGTTCTTCTGTAGCCAAGGGTAGTTGGTTTATTTCTATGGGTTTATTGCCTCAGGTCCAAGGTGGAGAGGTTCAATTACCTTGTCTTTAAAGACCCCGTCAGCTTTGAAAGTCGGGGCTACTTAGGCAGGCAAGTGCCGACTCCTTCAGTCATTGGAAGTATGTACCTCAGCAAAACAATGAAGTCTTGCCTTTTAAAGATATAGTTAAGGACAAAGCATTTTTCTCTCCTGCTCTTGGGTATGCAACTCATTGGTGCTGAGATATGCAAACAACCTCCGGGGGCCAGCATTGCCGGCTCTTTGCATCGGACATGCCATATTAGATGCAAGGTAGGTATGTTAACAGAGAAAAAAGGAAAGCATCTGCTTACATCTTCTTATCAAAATTAAACTGATCTCATAATTAGTATCCAATTAACCTCACCAGTTACTTGAGTGGCATCCTCAGTACTTGAGTATAACTTTTCTTCTAAAGTACTTGAGTATAGTCTTTCTTCTAAAGAAGCTATGAGTAATTCTCTTCTGGTGGCTCTATACTTCTTGAATGGTCAGCAGGTCTTTAATTCAGACTTTTGCTTCCAGATCAGCTGCTTCATGGCAAATCATGACAAAGCAATCTCCTTATATAATTTCCATTTTTCACAACAGCCCTAATTCTTTAGCTGTACAATAAAAAGCATGCAAATTTGTGTTATGCTTGTGCCACAGCTTGGGTTATTTGAATAGGAAGACCAGCTCATTCACTGAGGCATGAATGAAGCCTGATGCAGTATTTTTCAATGTGACTTTACCTCACAATGCAGATTGCTATACTTACAAGTCTGATTTGTGACAACTGTGGCATCTAATTGTATTCTCGGTTCTGGATTTAGCATCTTCACTAGCTTTAGTCTTCTGGCCAGCTATTGAATATGATTTTATGTCCTCTCAGCAATCAGTACATTTACTTTGGATTTTTGCTTTTTTCATCAGAATTCAAAATGAAACCCAACAAATTTCAAATGAGGTCTAAAATAGGGTTTTCTGTGATTCAGACACACCAGAAGAAAATATAGGATTACATGTATGCATATATATAGATATTAGTATATATGAATATCTGTATACATAAATACAGTGACCCAAATGGATTCACCTAAACTGATTTTCTTTTGATAGGTTGGTAGCCTGTAAAATCACGTTTAACATCATAATAATGTACATCATTACTACTTGTCACTAGGTTAATTTAGGGTTTCAAGCATTCGTTTTAAAATCTTTTAAAATTTTTCTTGGTTTTCCTAGGATTCTGCACAATCAGCAATAATATTTTTCTATCACTTTAACTAGCATATTTTCATGCTAATTTCAGAGAAATATAGCCATTTTCTGTAGTCCCCTTGCCTAGAGCCTTAGATGGTATTGAAACTTTTTTTTTCCACAGATATTAATTAACATCTAGGCTGTATAAGCATCTGTGATGAGTGCTTTCAATTACAAGTTTAGATGCTGGATGAAATCTCTGCTGGTTGTCTAAAACCTGAGGAACAGACTATAAATTTGCATGACAAAATGTTCCCCTTGAATTGTTCCTTTGCCTCTCTCTTCTCTATCAGCAAATCTGAGATGGAAAAATTTCTTCTCAACATGGGAGAAATTAGACTTTGCATTAGAATTAGGAAGCTGGGGTACAGAAGAACAGGAAATAGAAACAGAGAAAACGAAGCCTATAGAGGAAAATAAGTCATGAGATTCTATCAAAGTCCTGATTAAACCAGAATCATTCAATTGGGTCTCTAAATTTAGAATAAAGTATTTTTTGTTTTCTGCTTTACAAGAAAAGAGACAAAAGGCAGCAACGATAACATATGCGGAGTAGAGGTTTAGTGAAAAAGAAAAAAGAGAAGAAAAGCAAAAAAACAGCCCCCCCCCCAAGCTAACAGTTGTCCATCTTCCTGGTCCACACACAGGGAGCCAGGAGGGCTACTGCCAAAGTCTTCTGCATGACCTCCAGCTGTCATGAGGCAAGAAAGCCAGTACATTTTCATGTTTTCATCACTAAACCAACAGAGTGGACTACCCATTCACTAGAAAACTAAATAAAGTAGGCTATGTCATCCTCTGACCATTCTGATTAATCAAAGATTCCTTTTTATTTCAAAGTGGAACTTTTGGATTACAATAGGGAGAAAGCAGTCTGCATTACAATTTTAGTATTCATACTACTTTTCTTTAAGTGGGCATTTCTATTCATTATTAGCTCTGAGAAACTACCATTCATAGAACTGAAAATCACATAAGAAACAACAAAACAATAACAGCTCTCTCTACTGATAATGAAACTGCGGCTTGGTAATTTTCCTGGGTGTGGGTACTGGGGTCCCAAGTGGCAGAACAGAGCAGAAGAGAGGCTTTTACATTTTAATGGTGACTCACCATGATGCTTTGCCCTGATAAAGAGTTGCCACATGTTCCTGAGGTGCAATGCATCATTACTTCCAGCCTCCAGAACATTCTGTAAATGGAGCCTGGCTTTTGTGTTTTGAAGCACCCTGTAAAGATGGGGTTGGGCTGTTCAGTCTCTCAGTGAATCAACTCTCTAATATTTACTGAGCAATAAGTACATGGAGAACAGAACTGTTGCAATCCTGGAATACAAAAGTATGGGTTTTTATTTTTTCATTCATTCCTATTGTCCCTGCTTTTTCATCTTTTCTCCTTGAAACAGTCATTTACCAGAGAAACAAATATATCAAAAGTTCACAGGGGCTGGGGATTTAGCTCGGCAGCAAAAGCGCCTGCCTGGCAAGCGCAAGGTCGTGAGTTCGGTTCCCGGTACCGGAGAAAAACCAAAAAAAAAAAAAAAAAAAAAAGTTCACAAACATCCTTGGCTATGGCCAACACTGTCCTTGTGAAACTTTTTGCATAATCTGAATATAATAGGTGTATCTGGCACTCGGATCAATTGGTTACTAGTTTACATAAATGCTATTCTGTACACATATTACCAAATAGAGCAATCTGAAACATACTGGAACAATCAGCAAATGATAGATCATCTGCAGAAGAGATGAGGAAATGTATAGGCAACAGTCCACAAGGTGGCCAAGGGCATCACATGGTGTAGCATATATGAAAAGACTCTAAGTGGCAAAGCACTTTGGACATTAAGGTCATTAGTACTGTTGTCGTAATGCTACAAGAACTGATACACTATAGGGAACGTTAACCCCACAGAGGCAAAAGCTCTGGTGAGGTTTAACCGAAGGGAATCATCCATGTCAAACAGTTGGCATTTGGCATAGATCATGTAATGTATAGAGAGACACATCTTGGGCCTATACAATAGAAATTTGAATATACAAATATATATGATGACTTATGGTAGGATATAAATTGATGTAAAAAATATGCTTTACTTTCCCTGTTTCAGGATTTTAAAATGCATATAATTTTGTGTTGTTAGATAGAGCAGAGTTAGGAAACCCTTTGGTTATGTTTCAGGAAGGTTTTCACAGTACATGTTATTACAGTATTGGAGTTGGTATCTTACATGTTAAACAGCCTTCAGAAATATTTAGGATTCAACCAAAATTAACAACTTTAATATAGATCCTTCTAATAACATGTTTGGTTATATTGTTTTGAGTAGTAAGAATGAAATGATCAGAGTAGAAATTCGTCAAGATTTGCTACTTAGTACAGCTTGAATGAAATATTTGTGATAGTCAAGAAATCCTGATGTGAAGGACCTCCACATCTATGCCTCCATTGATAATTGGGTAATGGCCTGAGGGTTTCACTGTAGGAAATACCATTGGAAGATGGTGCATCAGAAAGAGATACCTTCCCCTACCTCAGGCTCACTGGTAACTGTGGTAAGATACTTGTACCCTGATAGCATTTCTTGGGACAGTGTTTGACAGTCACTCATTTTTCAAGATGACGCTGCTGCCCAGGCTCAAGAAGCCATGGACTTAATAACCGTATGTCATGAGGCCGAATTCCATAGCTTCCGGAAGTTCTAGGCAGCTATCTCGAAGGATAGTCTTCTCCTTTCTTAAGTCACAGTTGCTATGTCACTGGCCTTTGTTTCAATTCCAGTTACATTATAAAGTGCGCTATGTAGTATTGAACCTTCAGAAAGAACGTAATGTATACAACCACCCTCATGGAATCCCAAGTTCAAATTACTGCCAGAGTCACCACCCATATCGGAGGATGTGGAGCAACTGAATTGTCATCGTTGTTGTCTTCATCAACACCATCACCATCACCATCACCATCACTGACGTCAACAGCATCACATTCTCAGTACCCTGATCGGGTGTGGCAAAGTTGGAAAACCAGCATCAAGACACTGTCCAGTTTGGGTGTGTAAATATTATTCTGTGTTTCTTGGCCCATTTGGCAAACACTTTCTTTTCAGTGATAAATCTGTGTCCCCCGTATGGGGCGTGTTCATGAAGAAAATATTCATCACACTCATCTCTTCCTTGTTCGTAGTAATGATAAGGGACTTTTCTATACCCTTCTGTCCTAGAAAAGAAGAAAAAGGGAGACAGAGTAAGATGAAAAATGAAGCATTCATTTACAAGAATCCATTATGTGCCCAGTAAATGCATTTACTTGCAAACCCAGAGATGATTCTTGTTGATGAACTCAGTTAAAAGCTATTATGTATGAAAGCTTTTAGGAAGATGTACCAGGTCCTTAGTACGTTAATAGATCAAATAAAATTATATATCACACCAATTACATTCAGACATATGGCTATCCTTTGAAAGAGAAAATGGTGGATAATGGAAGCAAACTCTGGGTAACCTGATGCTCTTGCAGAACTTAGCAACTTCTGTGAATTTTCACAGTAAGATTTCAGGTTTATCAGCACTCCATTATATTTATAGTTGTGGTAGCAATATTTACTCATGGGTGAGAGTTACCTTTTTGACAATATGATTAAAATACTCTCTGAATTATATTGGGCCAATTGTTGGTAGAGAAATATATTTCACTACCCTGATAAAGCAGGGAGTGTTTATTTCATTATCTAATTATAAAGTGTTCCCCAGCTTGGGTATGCTGTGGGTAAACACATTCATTTTAAAGAGAATCTGGCAGATTATTATTCACTTATTAATGAAATGCAATTTCCAGGAATACTTGTTAAGCCTCAGTTTCTCTGAGGTTTCAGGACTTTTTGTCCTTCATGATCAGATATAACTGTTGAGTAGATAGCCATCCACCCAGCCATTAGAGCAGCAGAAATGTCAAACTTGCTTTTGCAAATTAAATTACTACTACACTTGTGCTGTATTTCCAAGCCACAAGTCCCCGATATGCCACTGATTAAGGGAAAAGCATTCCTTCTGACATTTGACATTAGATTGTGGTAAATATTTTTCTTTTTATCACCTCTAAAAGTCACAACTTGATGCGCTGACAATAAAATGTCATATCAGCAAAGAACACCAGGAAATAATTGTTGCTTTATCTGTTTCTCAGATTTATGACATTACAAGGAATTGTGATATTTTGACAAGATATCAGAATTGGAGCTGCATAAAAATAATTTCCTGTGATCTTACTTGCAGTAGGTGTCATTTATCATCCCGTAGACGCGGATACCATAACAGGCGTCCATGGCCAGAATGAAGGTAAACCACCCCGTGCTGAGGTAAGAGCCAGACTGGACTCTGTGAGGGGAGAACGAAAACAAACAACAAACAAAACAAAACAAAACACCGACAACATACACAGAACAACAATAAAGTGTGGTGAGAAACAAGTGACACTTTATCAGAAACATAGCACTTGTTATCTGCAAGAAGCATTAAGAAACCTGACAATCTGTCAAGGATACACACTTATTTTGAATTATCTCTGAATAATTTATAGGCATTCTCTTGCTCTCACTACCTTAAGCCTCAAAGCTATGTTGTGCGAAATAAAAGCCATATGGCAAATATCTGAAGTCAAATAATCATGCTCCCTTCAGGTGAAAAATAATTTATTTGATTTTCCATAAGGCACAAATTAGGGCTGTATATCAGAGGACAGCTTTTCTAAAAGTTGCTTGGAGCCCGGATGAGAATTGAATGATAATGCTGTTGTCTTGCTTACCTGGATGTTTCCCTTTTTCCAAGTCCCCATGGATTTCCAAGTATGAACCGGATGCAGTGTAGGTGACTTAGCCTACAGAAGCATCCAAAAGTTTTCCTTCATTGTTCTCCAGGCATCATGAAGCAAGACTTTTCTTTTGTCAGAACTATGTTACCAACTTCTTTAGCACATTTTTTTTTTCAAGGACTACACATCTATCACTTATCAAAATGACCAAATTTTCTGCCTTTGTGAAAGCTGAAGGTTGGATTTAGAGGTGGTTATGACATAAACATTGGTCAAGGAAGGTCTCCTAGATAATGAGAGCAAAGATCTGAGAAGCCATGTGGACCAGGAAAAGGAAAAGGAAATAGCAAGGGCAAAGATCGTAAACATGGAAGTGTGCTTGGAGTGTTCAAGGAAGAGCTTGGAAGGGCAGTAAGAGAGAGCTGAGAATGGTGATGCAGTCACATATACAACATGTGATGTAAAAATATCGTGAATGTTAAAATTAAAAACTGTCTTACAGAAAAAATACATTGCAATTAGTCTCTCTTCTTTCAAACACTTATCCCACCATTCTTGCCACTTTCTGAAGCCATTCTGGAAATCCTTTCTTGAGTGTCTTTTGTTGCACTGTTGCGGCTGCCTCAGTATCCCAAATTGATTCAAAATGTTTTCCCCTCATGGTCACTTTTACATTGGGGAAGGGCCAGAAGACACATGATGCCAGCTCTGGTGAGTAAGGTGGATGAGGACACACTATATTGTTTTTATGAGCTGCTTTTGGTTGGATGGCACCTAGCAGCAGCATTCACTGTATTTTTTTTTATCACATCTTGTAAAGACACTATGAAGAAGGACTTCCAGAACTGCTTCAGAAAGTGGCAAGAATGATGGGGTATGTGTGTTTAAAGTGAGGGGAGTTTTTTAGCAGGATTAATGGGAAGATGTCTTTTACTACATTTCTTTAAAAAATTAAACATTCACTGTATATTTCAATCACACCTCATAGTACTCACTGGAGGGGTGTGCCAAGTTCTAAATGGTTCAAAATAGATACTGTATTTGTCCTTAGCCAGGTGATGTAGGCCATCCAAAACAGATGACTGTTACCACCGGGAAACTCAGTAGGGGAAAGTGGATTACCACAAGTTGTCTGGCAATGGTGCAGCGGCACCTCCCAAAGACATTTCCTGTCTCCCATCTAGACTTCTTGACAGACTGGAGCACAGCCAGCTCTTCTACACATGACTGCTCAGACCCTCAAAAGCTCTGTGAGTGTGACCCTCCAACCAGGAGTTTCTCCCTAAGGATGTTCGGTATTGTTGCTGCCCTTCTTCAATCTCAACCATCAGCTTGTTACTTTTAGGACTCCTGAATCCTTTGTTTCTTTCTTGCTTTTCTAAAGCAACCAAGGGAGTCAAATTACATACATCATGCCAGCATTTCCGCAGCAAAGCAAACTCACATAGGGGTTGATTACTGGATTTTTAACCTTTATTTTTCTTGACTTTGGGTAATTTGCAAGGAGAAATAAACTCAACTCATACATACCCCGTCAGCTTGCTTGTCATTCAGTCGGACATGCTACTGTGTAAGTAGCCAGTCCTTTACACTTCCTGGTGCACAGTTTCTAAGTGGAAAACACAAGCATCCTTCCCTCTGTATTTGTAAGCAGTTGGTTCCAGGAACCCTGTGGCTACCCAAATCTGCAGATGCTCAAGTCACTTGTATAAAATGGCATAATATTTGCATAGAACTTACACACATTTTTCTGTATGCTTTCAGTCATCTCGAGAATACTCGTAGTGCTTAATATAATGTAAACATTATGTAAATAGTTGTTATACTGCATTGTTTGGGGCCTAATGATCAGAAAGAAGGTCTGTTCACGTTCTGTGCCAGTGCACTTTTTCTTTTTTCTCTGAAAGAGGTATTTTTGGTCTCAGTTGGTTGAAACCACAGCTGGAGAACTTGCAGATATGGAGGCCCCAAAGCTGGGCCACATTGTGCCATATGCATTTTCCTCTGTGATAGGAATCATAGCAGCGCAAGGGTCTGGAATATGTGATAAGTGGGTGGAGGAAGTTCCACGGGGAGGTGTGATGGACTTCAGAACAACTCTGCTTGTGATAGGACGCAACCTGCGTTCCCGGCTCTGAGCAGGAGTGGCAGGGGTGGGATCTGCTTATTTACAAACCAGGAGAGATCATAAGAGACACATGTCCTGACCAAAAGCTGCCAGGATTGAATCTAGAAATTTTGTCTATGCACTGAGTTTGTCTGGATACGATGACTAGCAAACTGTATACGTGCTCTTCTCCTCCTGTTGCTTTCTTTCACTATTTTTGCACATTTCCACCCCTTTTATGTCTTTGTATCCTGCTTCATTACTAGTCTGACCAAGCACTAGTAGAGACTGCTAAAAATTACAGCCCTCGTTTCTTTGTATATGATGGGGAAAGGCATGTCCCATTTCTTCAGCCACTGATTCAGTTTTTCAGCACATATTTATTGGCATCGTATTATGAGTCCCTGGCTGTGCTGGCAGCTGGTGACGAATCTCTCCTTAAGGAGCGCATGGTCTACTGGGGCAGACGCACCTGCTGAAGGAATTGAGTGCAGCACAGTGCAGCAGAGCACAAACCTGCGTGTTGCAGGCACCGCAAGTGGAGTGCAGAATCACAGTGAGAGCGCCTGGTTTCCCATCCCCAACTTTGGTGTGCTGCAAGGCAATAGGAAATGTATCTAACTTCACTGGGCCTCCTTGTTCTCAAAATGAGATGGTTGAAAGAAGTCATACCTAAGATTACTTCCAGTTTGGATTCTTCACGTCTGTGATCATCACCCTCTAGTGGGAATTAGTGATTAGGCTTTAACCACAAGGCGGTACCACACCCCACGTATGTGGGATGTTACATTTAGCAAACGTGTTAAGCAGACAGATCCCATTGGAGGCTTACTTCTGTGCAGGGCATGGCGCTAAATGCATGGGGTATGCATAAAAAGACAAAGTGGATAGAATGCTTTTACCTTGTAATGGTAGTATCTTTTGGGGAAAGTAGGTCAGTGTTTGCTTTTCCTGTGCTATCTACCACCTATGGAATGTGAAAAAATGGCTTTTGAAGGCCATAGACTTCAACTCAACTACTGTATTAAAAGTAAAGTTTAATTGGAGTGAGAATACATATAAATTGGGTCAAATTTTTATTCCCTGGATGTGGTCCTTTCACAGAATTGCTGCCAAGGCCCAAGATGATATTCTAGCCCCAGAAAAAAGGGGGATCCTTTGTGTGGCATACAAACCCCTGCTCTGCAAAACAACCTCTCCTGACTTGTTCTGGTCCAGTCCAGGTAGACATTATAGGAGATCAACAGGAAGTGATTGCAGTGGAGCCGTCCAAGGGTGAATAAGAGACCATGTTGCAGTGCCTCCTCAATGTGCCTATTTTCTCTTTGCCACAAGAAGAGGCACGCAGGAATTTCAGGGTGTGGCTTCTGGTCAAAGACTTTTCTGCCTTACCGCTGATGTCCTTTGGGTTGGGAAGTTCTTCCCAAGGCTTCATGCACTCAGAGACGGGGCTTGTGGAAGGTGAGTGGCTTCTGGGAGCTTACAACTGACTTGCTGTGAGGAGGTGGAGCCTGGTGAGAGGCAAGTCACTGAGGCTGTGGCCTGAAAGGGTCTGTCTCCCTCTCCGACTCCTCCCTTCTTTCTCTGCGTTCTGGCCACAGTGATGTGAGCAGTTTTCTTCTGCCAGATCCTTCCAACACTATGAATGTGATGATAACCGCAAGCCAGAGTAAACCTCAAGTTGCAGGCACTGGGTACTGTGCACCAACAATGAGAAGAGTAATTAAGACACCACTGAATAAGGAAATTTTTACATATATGATATATAATTCCATTTAGACCTAATCTGCTTCTTTTTGTTTCTGGACAGACAAAGCATGCCATACTAATTGGCCCAAGTGCTCTCCCAATAGTGTGTTGCATTTGATTCAGTCTGGGAAGGCTCACACTGCCCATGTGTCCTGTCTTAAAGCCAGCACTGAATTGGGCACTCACGTTGTCTCCCCCTAATGCCTCTGATATATTTGGGATGTGAAATGGCACGACGTTCTCTACCTACCATACATGCTGGAGCTTTCAACGCAGTGTCTTCTTAAGATACTCAGTGCCCTACAGTGATGCTTGCATTGTAATACCTGCAACTTCGATCAATGCAGGACTTTTTCCAACAACTAGCCCTGTGATCTGAGTCCTTAAAGGAGCACACTGGCCTGAATGGCACAGGCTCTGGGAATTTGTGTAGTTATGCCCTTTCTAAACTTTCTCCTCTGTGGCAGCCTGAGTATGCTAAAAATGAGTATAAATTAATCCAAGCAGAGTTTTTAAGGTTCAAAACAAACAACAAAAAGAGCAACTAATGTACATGAAATTATTTATGCTTTTCAGTTTGGAGAGAAAACTAGTGACATCTCTCAAACGCCTTGAAGAATTCTTAAAGAGTCTCTTTCTAGAGCCAAGTGTTGTCTTGTAATTGTTCACATGCACGGCGCTGTGCACCAGCTGGCCATCAGCCACAGCACT